CCTGCTGGGGTTCTTTTCAGAGCAGACGTTTCTCCGGTCTCTGTAGCTGACAGCCCAACTTCCCCTCCTTGTGAAAACTACATACTCCTATCCTCTCTCTTGGCTTTTAACCGTACTTCTATCCAGACAAAGAAAACATGAATTAAAAGATAGAATTGGGGAGTTAAAAGTATGCAGTTGGAATCCATAGTTGGGAAGATCAACGGTGGAGCCCTGAAGCGATCTGTCTGGGAACCTGTGCTTGTCTGTGTGGTTGTGGCTGGGAAAAAGAAGAGTGTGAAGTAAGTTCATGTTGGTAATGAATTACAGTGGTGCTGAAGCCAAAGGTCAGCTGTGGAGAAACAGAGAATGACCCTGCGGTCATGAGCGAGCAGTAAAACAGCAGCTGATGTTCAGTGTAAATAAATTTAAATGACAAGGGGAAACAGCCCCAAATCCATATATAAAATGGTGGGCTCTGATCTGACCATCACCGCTTGGGACAATGTGGAAAAGGTAGAAATTTTCAGTCTGAGAAAGCTGTGTGTGAGAGAGGAGAGGGGTGGTGGGGATCTGCGGTTCAGTGTCTGTTCCAGTGCAGGAGCTAGGAGGTTTCTAATGGAGGGAGTAAGGCAGCTTCAGACAGAAGTGATTTTTTCCACGCAGAGTGAAACTCCTCACCGCGGTACATGGGGGTGTTAGGAGCTTAACTGAGGTCAAGGGGAGACTGGAGAATGTGGAAGAGACGCATCAGGTTCAGAGCAGTTCTGAGCCGCAGGTCACTGGAGTCTGGGCGACCGCTTGGGGGAAGAGTCACTACGTGCTGCCTGGTCTCCTGCCCCTTCAGTTGTAGCTGCTTCTGGCACTGTGGGCAGAGAGGTGCCGAACTGGGATAGACCTTCAGGCTGACTGTACAGGCTTAAATTTAGAAAGGCTGGTTAGCAAAAATCCTCGTTCATGTACATATCGTGTATGCATATATAAAAACATACAAACATGCTCTCCCAACAAAATAAGGCTGGACTGACTAAGCGTGTTGGAGGGGAACTTGCTGAGTGCGCTTTCTCCCATGCCCTTCAGAATCTGTGCTGAGACTGGGCAAGTGCTGCTTTATCCAGAAGAGCTGGCATACGGACCTTTGGTGTACGGACCTCCTGGGGATGTGCCAGGTGCCGTTGGTCTGCCTGTTGCTTTCAGGATCTCCAGTAGAAAGGAACAGGCACCCTCTCCACTCCAACATAGAGTTCACAACTGGAGAGCTGGGTAGTAACTCAGCAACTTCTGCTAATCACATTGTGTGTAGTAATGTTTAGAACTCTCAGACAAAAATATAATAACAAAAAGGATTGCTTTGGACCAGAAAGACTTCTCACCTGCGTCTTCCTTGGCCTCTGTCTTTGTCTGTTGGCTGACAGCAGTTCGGCTGCTCTCTACTTGCCAGCCTGCTGCAGCAGCAAGTACGTTCTCTCTTTTAATGAGCCCACTCTGCTAGTAGAGAAGCTCGCTGTGTTTGGGACCTCAGCTCAGTCTTAGTAAAGCTGAGGAATGTGCCATTTGGACTACTTGAAGGCTGCTCCTTGTCATGCCCACTAGCCAGGAAGTCTGCTGGCTCCCAGGCATTCTGCTGAATTACCAGGATAATTCTGAAGGATATCCTTGAAGGATATCTGAAGGATAAACACACCAACACTGATTCCATTCCGGGGGGTGCGTGTGATCCATATAAACTCAACTTTCCCAACTCGTATTACACAGTAAGCTTTCTTCTTGTCTCTCTGGGACATACATAGAATTTAGGAAACTTTGTGTTACCTTGATTCAAATTAGATGCTTCCTCTTAATGAAATGGTATTGATTTCCTCTTGAGGGTTTAGACTGGGACATCTCCTGCAGTAATCAAGAAGATGCAAATGAATTCAAGGTCTTGTTTTCTCCCTTGTTCTTCCCTTTCCCCGGTATAAAAATCTGCTTATTTTAGTTCTGCTGCTAACACCTTTGGTTGAATTTTCTTTCAGACCTCAGGGTGACTGAGGGAGATACAGCTAAATGGATGAAAGTACCCGTTACCTCTGCAGTGAAAGAGCGGTAGGGTAACACAGCATATAAGCTTCACTCAGAGATCTGTCATGTTTTGCTTGGCGTTCAAGCCAGGTAATCATAAAGTAGGTGCTGGCTATTTCAGAATTCATCATTGTGTAGTCCAGGTGAAAAGGTGGTGCTTCTTGACTCTTTCTTTGAGGTCATCTGCTAAGAGGCAGCTGTTCACAAGAGTTGTATCTGTGCGTTCCTGCTGCCTGCTGGAGTCTCCTAGAAATCTGGGATTCTCTGGTTTAGATGGAAGACGTGAGACATGTGCAGGTCTCCATTTGCTTTATATGGCATAGTGTGCTAGGTGATCTCTGCAAAAGGGTCCTTATACCCAAACCACCTTCTTAATACTCTTATGAAGTGTTGTGTGTCGGTACTAGGCAGCTCTGAAACAGTCTTACTCTAAGGGGAGAGTCACTCCCTCCTTGAACATCTGGAAGACTTCTTCATAAACTGCGATTACACTGAGTAGACTCTGAGAGTGTGCAGTAAAGTGTGCACAGGCCAAGCACGTGAATCTCTGGGGAGAAGAGCTCAAACTGGAACGTAGTTAACTCAGCTGTAACGTGGGTGGGCCCTCAGCTTTGGCATCAGTGTGCCTGGGACAGTCAAAACAGGACTTGTAATCCTTTAGCCGGATTGTACCTCAGGTGCTCTCACCTGCAGAACGGCTCTTCGGGCAGCACTGTTCTCTCTGCTGCTGTGTCAGGATGCTGCTGCGTTATCGATTCAGGGTGGAGATTCCCCCATAGCTCTCCCCCACATCACGCGCAGTCTCCTTGGACATCCAAAATAATACATACTCGGCAGACTCCTCTGCCTTGTGTGTCTTAAGGTCTTTTCCATAACCAAATCTTGTTTTCTTTACTTGAACAGATGGTTTCTTCCTATTTTACTGAACAAAAATTTCGGAGACGTAACCACGCTGTACTCCTTGCCTGGAGAAGATTACAGTTGACTTTGGGATTCATTTTTAGCTAATATGGTCTGCAGCCCCCCGCCACGTGCCTCTCCCTGCAGGGCAGGCCTCACTGTGGAGGAAGCAGATTGCCCTCTGCACCCCTAATGCAGCTGAATGAAATGGAAAATCAAACTTGTTCCTCCATGGGCTGCTGTTTGACTTTATACAAAATGAATGGAATTCTGTCTAATTTCTTGTGCCGCTGTCCGCATCACAGGCTCCTGCCCTGCAGGCCCCAGGAGAAGAGTTTGAGGAAGCATCAGCAGTACCAAGTGGTCAGCACTGGGTGACTGTCGGGCTGGGAAGGCTCCTGTGGTTTGCACTCATACTTTATTTTTGTTACCCCTTCCCTAAGATGGCAGTTCTTTGCTAACTGCGTGTGGTGCAGCAGTGGTCAGAGCCTTCGCTGGGGACTCTGGCTGCTGCTGCGATGCACATAAGGACTATGGTCTGTAGCGGTAACTTCTGCTTTGGCTCTGCTGTGGTGGCATGGACCTGCCCTTGCTGGCCTCTCCGCAGCAGCTAAGCAGGTCAAGGGAGGTGTGCAGGGAAGCGGGCTGCCATATACAAATGAGAGGGATTCCTTGAAAATAGCAGGGCTTCACCTTGAGAAGGGGAACTTCTGCCTTTTTCTGTGCTTGCCTGACACTGGTTAAGTGACATAGTGCTGAGCAGAGCTGTGCGAGCAGGCATTTGGCACTTTGGGGGTATAGGTGTATCGTTTCACATCGGTAGCGCAGTCAGTGTTCCATGTTTCCTTTAATGCTGGACCTTTCGTTTCCTCTTTTTATTAGAGGAGTGCCCAAGCACTCAGATCCCCATCAGTGCCTCCAGTGTATCTTGTAACTACGTTGCTTTGCCCTATGTTATATTCAAACTTCTTCCCTTTTTCTTCGGAGACCCCAATAGCTGAGCCAACTTTGGCCCTCTTAAACCAGATTCTGTTGTGAAATGTCATTAGCCTCACGCTGTGCTGCTCCACAGCCATCTCCACGTGGCTGTTTAAGTCTTGCCCTCACCCTTTTCCTTTAGCTCTGTCTCCCAGAATGCCTATGAGAAAATAACGAACAGATGCTCTTCCTTATTCAGCACTTCCACTCTAAGGACTTCTCAGCAAGGGACAGAAAAGTACGGTGTTCTTCTGGTGTCTTACATTCCTTTGTCCTAGCCAAGGATTCGTTATCCTTCATGTCTTGAATTGCTGTTTGTAGGCCCCTTGTGGTGTAGGTAACCTCTCTGGACAGTCCGGAGGGGTTTATCTCCAGTAGCTGTTATGGCAGTGAATGTCTCTGCAGCACTGCAAACTGGTGATGATCTGGTCCGCAGCCTCCTCGTATTGCATGTGGATTCACTCTAAATACCATCTGCTGGCTCTTTGCCTCTTGCAGCAGTGGGTTAGGTGAGCGGATTGGAGCAGAGACTGTCCCGGAGGTGCCTGGAACAACAACGGCACTTAGCAGATAATCCAGGTGCTCTCGGTCTTCTCCTTAGCTGCTGCCAAGCTGCAGGGACCAATTTTAGCCTGCCAGTGTGCTGGGAAGCAATCCTGACACAGGAGTGCATCGAGAGCTGTTGTACTTTCTGCATTTCAAAGTAATTTTCCTTCTCTGTAGGAACAAACCCCATTCCTTCCCAGGGTCTTTTTGAGCTCCTCGGAGGGAGTTAGGGAGTCACAGAAAGGGAAGCCTGAGCTTAAGAAGTTTAGAGGCCTTTAAACTCAAGAGGTGCAGAGCAGGAGGAGGCCTCACTCCCATATGCGCAGAGACTCGTTCGTTTCTTCCTTGCTCCTCCGACAGTTTCAGATTGGCTCGGTGCCACAAAGCTTTGCCAAGAAGCTTGGATGAAGAGGAAGATGCTTTGCCGCAATACTCCGCTGGCTTGAGTAGCAAAGAATTTATTGTGAACGATTGTGATGCAGCTTAGCTCTGAGCAAGGGTCTGTTAAATGTTGAGATGCCTATTTCTGCTAATTCTGGGTTTGCTGGCAGTGAAGTCTTGTTAAGGGGACAAATAATGCAAACGCGTGCCCAGCCCTTCCTTGGGAGTCAGTCTGTCCGGTGCGCACCGGAGGGTCTGCTGTGAGGAGGGAGGTTCTGCCGCTCCCCGCGTTTGTAGCACTGTGCCCTGCCCTGCTGATGGGGCGAGGGTGGGCTGTGTCCAGGCTGGGGTGTCACCAGCGGTGGGAGCCCTTTCGTGGAAATTCTGTTGACTTCAATTCTGTGCAGCTTCTGTAAAGCGCGCAGCACTGTGCCAAGTTCTCCATCAGAACCATGTATTTTAGCAAAAGGGTCCCAGGCTTTGCAGCAAACACGTCTGCTGCTAGATAGGTTTCCTCCTCTTCCCCCTCCTTCTGCGTGTGCCTGGACGCTTGCTTTCAGGTCTGTTACTGCATGTGATTGCCTAGTGGCCATTTTCTTGGCCTAGAAGAGGTGACCTTAGGCCTGAGTGTGCCTGTTGTTTGATTCTCAGACTGCCCAGCTCCTTCAGCCATGAGTGGTCCTGCATGGATTTAGGTTGCTGTTTGCTCTATTCATTTTCTGATTGGGTTTCTTTCCAGGTTTTGAAGGCTGTTCCATGGTTCCCACCATTTATCCCCTGGAGACCCTGCACAACTCCCTCTCTTTGCGACAGGTCAACGAGTTCCTGACAGCTGTGTGCAGGAGTTGCAGCGAATCGCATGTCCAGTCTACTGCAGGTACTGGGGAGGTGGGCTTGTCTCTGGGTAAGCCAGAACAGAGTCGAGGCAAGGAGACCTTTTGGCCTTTCACATTATCAGGACAGATCAGCCTGACAGGACTGGCAATAAGCTCAGTCTCTGAAACCTGTTCCAGGGTGTTCCAGCTCAGGAGCGAGCTATGGGATCCAGCTCAGAGCCATCCTAGGCCACTTACGTGAGAGACAAGTAATCGGTCAGGTCTGTCTGGGGCTGATAAGTACAGTGACGTGGATACAAACTCCAGCTTGGGAAATCTGAGCCTCAGATTCCCAGGAGCTGAGGGACAGGCATGGCTCTGAATTGGCACTGTTCTTGAGCTCTTCCCGGCGTGCCTGCTTGTGGCTGCTGGGCTATGAGCCATTCCTTTATGTCTGTCTGAATATTACTGATCTGTCTATTTTTTTTCTTGAAGCTTTGTTTGATTCAATGATTGGCAGCCAAATACCAGGAGACCCCTTTATGTCCCAGCGAATCCTGTCGTCGTCCTCTTTGCCGTTGCGCCAGCGTTCGGATAAGCCCCCTTGGTGTGAGTGTGCTCCCTTCTCAATCAGGGGTGAAATGTGATGATGAGGGAGGAAAGTCAAGGGTGCCAAAGGGGGGGAGCCAAGTATTGGTGCTCAGGGTTTCTGTACTCTGCCCTTGAAGGAACAGAAACAGAAAGGGGAAACAGGTAAAAGGGAAAGTAGTCATATGCCCTGTGAAAAAGCTTCCAAAGAAAGATGCAAAAAGGGACCCTCTGTAGTATTGTATATCATGGGGACATCTACTGTTGGATGGATGCTGTCTCTCCAGACATCCTCTGCTTTGTGCACTAGGACATGGAGGGCCTGAATGCACTTCATTTTCATCTCAAGTTTTGTGATTCTCCATGACACATGGCCAGCCCAGTGTTGGCATGTGGAAACGCCTTCCTTTCCTAACTAGCCACGTACATGCCTCACCCAGAGCTCCGTATAGGACAGCCAGTGGTTTAGTTCTCCACTTACAGGCTTTTCTGCAGCTCCTGGGCCTCGCCTGTCACAGTCTCTGCAGAGCTGGTGACTGTTAGTTAGTCCCCTTGGCAGATCCGAGTGGCACTCGGAGGGGAAAGCATTAGCCAACGGCTGCACAGCAAGTGCCTTAATAACACAAGTCAAGGTTGCCGCTGAAGGAGCAGTCCTGCTCTTCTCCTGACTGTACACGCCGTGTGCCAGGAGCGGTGTGTGTTTGTGTGGGCAGCAAGGTCAGGGAACTGATCTGACTGAAAACAGTTGTTTAATCTTCCCCCCTTTGTCGGATTAGATATGATCTAGATCCGTTCTCTAGTTTTGCTCATTGTACAATATAAAGCAAGAAGAAGCATTAGTGGAGAAGCAATATTTCTTCTTCCAGTGGTGACTCTAGCTCAACATTCAGGGATTGTGTGTGTCAGGAACCAGGAGGAGCAAAGCTGAAGCTGAGAGTGTTCTGTAATAATGAGGGAATGAAAGAAAGGGCTTTTCAGCTCAAAGCCCAGCATCACATTTCACATTTTACTCTGTAATGACAACAGAATCCCCTCTTGGCTATATGCCAACATAGCACTGTAGGACGAGATGTAAGTGTGGGGTTTGTGCTTGGGCTTTCATCAGCTGAGCTGCCAGAAACACACCTAAGAGCAGCTGCACGCCCCTGCCAGCTTGCATGGTGTGTAGACGACCCTCACCCGTTGGTTGTAGAACTGTGGGACTGCGACAGCTTGGGTCTGCCCAGGCTTTGGGCTGGGGAAATACCAGCTAAATGTTTAAGATTCTTTTCTTCCTCTTTGCAGACAGCAGTGGCCCCTCCAGTACTGTCTCCAGTGCAGGCCCATCCTCCCCAACCTCTGTGGACAACTGTGCTCGTTTCAGCTTCACTGAGAAACTTTCCATCAGTCCCCCCAAAAGTGAGGAGCAGCTGAGTAGCCAGTCCCCCGAGCAGGGAGAGAGACAGCCTCCAGGCAGAGGGCTGGACGTGGAGGTGGGGATGTCTGGGTTGTCGGTGGCGGAACCAAGGGCCCCAGAGCCCCTGACCTGGAATAAGGGCCCAGAGCCAGGCAGGGTCCTGGAGCTGTGCAAGAAGGAGCTGGCGGAGGAGGACTCTAACCCAGAGAAGAGCATGATGGAGCTGGATGAAGAAGAATCAGCTGGGGAAATGTTAGAGCCAGGTAACACAGGGAACCCAAAGTGTGGTGCAGGGTCTGATATAAGGCTGGCTGGGGAGAGAGTGAAGCCAGGTGAGGGGTGCATAGGGGGAATGATGGGCGTGGATCAGTCAGGGCTGTCCAAGGAGATCTTGGTGCCCTGTGAAGAGGAGCTGCTGGGAGAGGTGTTGGACCCAGAGCATATGGGCGAGGAGCTGCTGGGGGACAGTGCTGTGTCACGCCAGCTTCTGTCTGGTCACCCGTGCCAGGTGCAGCTACTGCCTCCTGAGAACAGCACGGAGGAGCTGCAGCCACTGTGTCGGGAGGATCAGCAGAATTAGCGGCTCGCTGGACAGCACACTGCAAGCGCTTCTAGCCCGGAGGCAGCCCAGCTTCCTGCACAGCACCTCATGCAGCTGGCTGTCCACAGCACAAGCCATGTCCCAAGGCCACAGGACTCTGGGGGGTGGAAGAGTCTGCTCTGCTCCTCCACAAGCCAGCTCTTTGCCATTCGGCAAGAGACAACGCCCCATCTGCCTTGAAGAACAAATGCAGTCTTGGTACTGGCATGGCACCTCCATGGGGCAGGGACATGGGGCTGCGTTGGTGTCCCAAGGGCTGTATGCTCACTGGGACAGCAGAGTACAGAGGATTGGTGCAGCGAAGGCTTTTGGGGTGGTCAGTCCAAAGGGGACAGATGCTCCCTTGAGATTTTTTGGGCCATAGCCTTCAGAGAAAGGCATTCTGGGCCCAAAGTAATCGGATCCATCACAACCACCAACCTCCTCTCTGTTCCTTCCTTCTTCCTCTCTCAATTCCCACCACTGGCCACCAAAAACAGGTCCAGAGAGTCCATGGCAGGAAGACTAGGAGAAGCAGCAAGCATTCTGAATGAGTGCGGGAAGGAGAGTAATGAGGGGATCAGGTTCAAGACTGCCACTTGCAAGAAAACGTCTCTTTGGCGTGGACTTGAATGTTTTCCTGCTGGGCTGGGGCAGGCAGGCGGGAGCCTGGGGATCCAGCCTGAGAGAGGTGGGCAGGGAGGACACACACGGGTTTTTTTCTAGTCCCCAAGGGTCAGGCAGGGTACAGCTCTGAAGTCTTGGTGACAGAAATTAAAAGAAACTGCTATTTGAACGAATCAGGATTATTAGAAACCAATAAGGAGAAATCTTTATTATATATAAAATGAAAAGTATTTAATACATATTTATGTAAATGACTTGTGAGCACAAGCCTGAGGGCAAGATTGACACGGGTGTCCCTGCCGCATCCTGAGTGCAGGCCAGGGCTGTGCCTCCTGCGCCTCCTGTATTTATGAACAAGTCTGTGTGTTTGTCTGTAGCTAGGATCTGTGTTTTTGTGAAGCTGTGCCCAAAGATCTCCGCGCTGTGTTGTGATGATGTGTGTTCACAGTAAACCTATGCTGTGGGTCTGGCGTCTCTCTGTCTCTGATGCTGACTTGCGCAGCAGCATGTGTGTGCCAGAGCTTGCAGGTGCCTGGGACAGCAAGCCCTGCTCCTTCTCTGCCGTCCTGGAAGAGGAACTGTGGCTGAAGTCACGACTGAAGTGAGTGCACAGGCGTGGGGCTTTGCTCAAGGAGGCCAGACACCTCTTTTTTCCTTCACAGAAGAACTGGTCATACTGGGGAAGAGGTCCTGGCTTCCCAGGTTGGTTTGCGGTAGAATGAAGACACTGGGGCAGCATGTCGGCTCCTTTCACTTGGTCTATGCCTTCTCATCAGTTCCAAGCGCGTCCTGGGTACCGTGTCCTCTTCCTCATGCCTGATGATCCCTAGCTGCCAGTTTGGGTATTTAAGAAAGGTCACCTTTACTTGCACTTGAAATACAGCAGTTGTACAGCTGCCTCGAGTGCAGCACCGTGCTAGGAGGAAGCCTGGCCCCCTCTTCCACAGGACTGTGCCAGCCTGCTCTCGTACGGATGTGTGCGGGGGTCTGGGAGAAGGGCCTGCCTCGTGCCACATGGCAGCACTCTGGCTTTCGCTGGCAACCCTGCATTAAAGACCTGGAGGAACAGATGCCCTGGCCAGTCCCTGTCGGGCCGAGGCTGCGGGCCTGCAGCGTGCCCCTGCCCCGAGAGCTGGCCACGGGGAATGCAGGAGGCAGAGCAGCACCAGATCCCGCTGCGCCCCTATGGCAATGCCCGTGCCCCTGATCCTGCTGTCCTGCCCGGGCCCTCCCAGGGTGAGTAGTGTGTGGCACCTGCCACCACCAGCACCGCTGCTCCAGCAGCAGGGTCCCGGCCGGGCACCAGAGCTGTCTCCTGCCAAGATTTGCATGTTTCTTTCTGGGGGAGGCAGCGCCCACCTCTGCACCCACAGAGCGGAGACCGTGGCCCAGGCCTGGGTAGGGTGGTTGCCGCGATGGACCCAGCATCACCTGCCACAAGCTCGCATTGCTGAGGGGGGCACGGCTCCGTCCGTGGCCGCACG